TGTTAGCCAGGATGGTCTCGATCTCCTGACCTCGTGATCCGCCCGTCTCGGCCTCCCAAAGTGCTGGGATTACAGGCTTGAACCACCGCGCCCGGCCCTACCTTTGGATTTCTAATTCACATATTGCTTTGCCTTTATATGTCATGCTTGATTTGTCCTAAACATTCCCCATTTTCCCACAGATGAACTAGATACATTATGACCTGTTAATGGTTATGCTTTATAGAAAAATAAAGTACTTAATATATGAATGTGTGCATCACTGGGTCATCAGTAAACCATTGCTGTGTGGCTAAAGGGATACGGCATGTTATTTTGGCTAGTCCTGAGTCTGATACCCACAAATAAAGATGCCTGAGTTGAGCATCTACTCAGAGTGATGAGGAGGGCCACAGATCAGGGTGACACATGAGAAGAAAGCAGAATGGGTTTTGATCAAGCAACGATGATAGCTATCTACCTCCAATCATAAAACATTTAAGTATTAAGTGAAGCTGTACAAGTATGGACTTGAACAAAGCATCCTGGATGGGTGGATAGATGGATTAAGCACCAGTTGGATAAAATAAAGCAGTTGAATGGTTTTCTATGTTATAATTTTTATCTTAATGAAAAAATGATTTTTGCTTATACTTTGCAAAATAATAGAATTGTACTTTATGATTTTGTAGCTTTATGTAATTTCAGTACTTGTTTTTCTGACTGATATAATTTTGCCTCTTCTGAGAATACTGAAAAATCATAAATAAGAATGAACTATAAAAGATATCAAGCTTATATTTTAAAATACAGAGAACCCCTCAACTAGGAGAATACAAACACTTCTATAGACTTTGAAATGCTATTACTGAAACTTATTTTCTGCAATTATCAAAATATACCTGACCAAGTAGAGAACCTTGCTCTTTTCAGTATCCAGCTAAGGTTAATTTATACCGGCAGCCCTAACATGCAAGTCAACTAGGAATAAGGGAAATTAAATCACTGTATTAGTACCATTCATTGCAAAGTAAAAATTTCCCAAGGACAACTTGGTGGTACTATAGGAAAATTAGTATTTTATTTTTTCCTTTAAAAATACCATTTCCTATCTTGGTAATTTAGTTAATAATTAAATACAGTTATTATTACATTTTCATTTTTAGATTTTCAAGGCAAAAACCTGATCTTAGAGTCTATTTTCATAAACCTTGCATGTAAAGCTAACAGCTGCCACCTGGTGGCCAAAAGTACTTATTAGCTTTACTTTAGGTCAAGGTGCATCAGGGATCAACACTCAAGTCCACACTTAAATCTACTTTCACCTTACAGAATGCAAAATCTTACTTAGAATTTTATAGTTTTTTTAGTTATAAATCTATCAATTCAAATGAAGATAATGTATTAGTTATTGGTTAACTGTTGTTTTGTAACAAAGTACCTCAAAAGAAAGTGATTTAAAACATCTTTTATCTTACAGTTTCTGTGGGTCAGGAATCTGGGTCCTCTGCTTCAGGGTCTCTTACAAGGCTGTAGTCAAAGGTCGGCTGGGGCTATAGTCATCTCAGGGTTTAGCTGGAGAAGGGTTTGCTTTTAATCTTAATCACACAGTTGGTCATTGTCAAGAATCAGTTCCTCAAGGATTGTTAGACTGAGGGCTTCATCTCCTCACTAACTGGTGGCCAGGAACCACCTTTAATTCCTTCCCATATGAGTCTTTCCAACATGGCAGCTTGGTTTATCTAAGCATGCCTGCAGAGAAGGCAGTAGAGTCCAGAAACATGGACATCACAGACTTTTGGCACCTAATCTCAAAATTGACCTCTTACCACTTTGGTCATATTCTGTTCATTAGAGACAAGTCACTAGGTCCAGTGTGCACTCAAAGAGATAGGATCATTGAGAGTCATGTCAGAAACTACCTACCACAGTTATCTTAGGTGCAATACCAAAAATCTGATTCTTAAAATACCCCTTTACTGATATGATAGGTGTAGTTTTTAATTATAGAAACACTGGGAGAATAATCACTGGTTGTTTTAGTGTCTAGAAAGTGAAGTTGTGTAGAAACTGAAGGATTGGGCATATATAATCTCAGAATGTATGTGTGGGAAGGTAATTTGGAAGGTTATGAGATTCAGCCTCATACCTATACAGAAATCCCTTCACAACGTCTGTCACAGGTGGTGTTGTCCCTGCTCGAGTGGCTAATCTTCAGGAACTTAGGCTCTTGGTGGCGGCTTAGGCCATTGTTAGAAAGGTATAATTTTTCTTTTTTTTCTTGAGACGGAGTGTCACTCTGTTGCCAGACTGGAGCACAGTGATGCGATCTCGGCGCAGTGCAACCTCCACTTCCCGGGTTCAAGTGATTTCCCTGCCTCAGCCTCCCGAGTAGCTGGGACTATGGACAGGTGCCACCATGCCCGGCTAATTTTTTTTTTTTTTTTTTAATTTTAGTAGAGATGGGGTTTCACCATGTTGGCCAGGGTGGTCTCAATCTCCTGACCTCGTGATCCGCCCACCTCAGCCTCCCAAAGTGCTGGGATTACAGGCGTGAACTACTGTGCCCGGCCGAAAGGTCTAATTTTTCAAAACCAGATTGTGCAACATGGTGAAACACCATCTCTACAAAAAATACAGAAACTATCTGGGCATGGTGGTGAGCACTTATAGTCCCAGCTACTCGAGAGGCTGAGGTGGGAGGATGGCTTGAGCCTGGGAGGTGGAGGTTGCAGTAAACCAAGATCGTGCCACTGTACCCCAGTCTGGGTGACAGCCAGACTCTATCTAAAAAAAAAAAAAAAAAAAGTCTAATTTGATTATACAAAAATCTTGTTCTCTATGTGAATTTATAGAGATGAGACTTTTTAACCCTTAGTCCTAGTTGTGCTTTCTAATGCAAATATAAGCTGTTTTGTGTTTTTTGTTTTTTTTTTGTATTATTTTTCAGGCAAATGATACTGACAGGTTGTGTGGCATTTGCACGTCATGTTGGACCAACACGTGTAGAAGCTGAACTTTTACCACAGTGTTGGGAACAGGTAAATAACTGTATTGAGTTTTCACCTAGCTATTATAGCCTGATTTCTTAAAAAGATATATAGTTTCCTTTTTAAAGGCGTTTAAGAAATAAATTACGCTGATGTTTCTGTAGCTCAGCACAGTGGTTTATTAGTACTTACGAATGCTCTGGGGTGCTTTCCTTTATTCATTCAGTCAACAAATACTTATGAAACACTAATTTCAGTGCCAGGTACTGATGTAGTCACTAGGGATACAGTGGTGAACAAAAGACAAAGACATCCTAATGGTGAAATAAGAGGAAACAAAGAAATGGTCTGCTATTTTGCAGTAATTTATAATATGAAGAAAAATAAAGCAGGATAAGGGGGAGAGAGTGATGGGGAATGCTCTCCTAGGAAGGGTGGTTACAGAAAGAATCTCTGAGGCAATGATGTTTAAGAAAGAATCTGCATGAAATAAGATGGAACAAGAACAAAGGCCCTGAGGTGGGAGTATACTTGATGCGTTCAAGAAACAGCAAGAAGACGTGTGTGTGTGTGTGTGTGTGTGTGTGTGTGTGTGTGTGTGTGTAAATAGAAATATATCTTGTATACTTGTATATATTACACATATACAAAGTGTAAATCTTTGATGTGGGAGGTTTTTGTATTTATACTTGAACTTATTATTTTACTAACAATGCTTTTGCTTTTATATTGAATTTAAAATTTCCAGTCCTCTGTAGAACTCAGAATCATTGACTTTCTAGACTTAATGTTTAGATCATTCAGCACCTCATTTTTCCACCTTAAAAAGATGGGTTTCCTGCTTATGGAGACAAATTACATGGCTTTATTTACAATAGCACGGTCACTTATTCTTAAGAAAAATATTAGTCTCCAGAATATCACTGAAGTATATAGTCATTTATAGTCCTATTCCCAAGTTCTTTGGGCATTCATTTTTTCCACCAAAATAATGTAGAATCCCCAGATTCAGTAGACAAAGTAAACATTACATGTAGTAATAACCACCTCTCACAATCCCTTATACCATCTATTAATTACAGTGCATACTAATTTAGGGTGAGGTTCTAATCACTTGATGTCAAAATAACTTGGCTACAATATATCCATACAACTTTCAGTTTACAATTCTATACAGTTAATTGTGCACATTTAATTTTTTATAGTTTTTTCATTTTCTTTTGTCTTTTTCCTTTCAAGTGTACAATTTAATGATTCAGTGTTGTGCAAGCTTCACTACAATCAATTTTTAAACATTTTTGCCACCTCAAAGACAAACCCTAACTGCTTGAATTTGGTTCTCCCCTTTCGAGATTATTTTGACTATTCCAGGTCCCTTGAATTTTCTTATGAATTTTAGGATCATTTTTCAATTTTTGCAAAGAAGCCAGCTGGGATTTTCATAAACAATGCATTGAATCTATAGATTTATCTTGAGAGTATTGCCATCCTAATTTTATATATTGTCTTTCATTCTATGAATTTAGGATATCTTTCCATGCATTAGGTCTTTTAAAATTGCTTTCAACAGTGATTTGTAGTTTTCCGAGTGGTACACGTTTTGCCTTTTTGTTTTATTTATTTGTAAGTATTTCATTCTTTTGGATGCTATTGTAAATAGACTGTTTTCTTAATTTTATTTTTAGTTTGTTCATTGCTAATATATAGACATACAATTGATTTTTGCATTTACATTCAATTTTGAGACTTACTGAGCTAAAGAAAAGCAAATGAAAGTTTATGCACAGCCATACTTTGACATTCAAACCATTCTACTTTTGAGGTAACTACATCTGGATTAAATTTAATTCAAAGATGTCAGTTATAAACATCTCTACTGCCACCTCTTCTGTAACCTGAGTAAACTTGGATATCGGGGATCTATCTAGCCGCCTACCTCCAGTTTGTTTCCCAGTAGATTACTATATAATTTTTTTTCTTAATTTTAGGCATCCAATACATTAATGAATTATGTCACCTTTTCATATGGGAATATGAGAACAGATATACTTCTTTTCCAGTCAAAGAAAGATTTATATTCTATGAAGAAGACATATGGGAACAAAACCCAGTATGTGTCATTTTTTTTTGTTATTTTTGGTTATGGTTCAGTGTAGTCATCACAATAGCAAAATCCCACCATTTTGCATTTGCAAACAGAGGAATGGATTGAAGTCTGCTTACCTGAAAAATAAAAGCATATTTCTAGTAAGGGCTCTGGTCAAATCATTGATTAACTTACTTCCTCATCCCTTAGGTTGAAGAAAGAAGACTGGCACATATTATAGACTGTATCTATAAGATCCAGAAGCTGAGTTTTCCAAATTTAAAAATATTCTACTGTTGCTAGGGAAAGGTCCTGGTTTCTCCTGATACTCTTAAGGAAAGCCTAGTTTTAGGCAAGCCCATGATCTCTAGATACCTTACCACATTTTCATCTTTGATTTTCCCTTTTTTCTTTAACAGATGACCCCTGTAACCTCATGTTTAGGTTCTCCCTCACTCCCTCATTCCTGATCCAGGTATAGTCACACAGGGATTCCCAGAAGTGGAAAAGCAAGAAGCTTTATTGCATTCTTAACAGAATTTGTGGTGAAATGTAATTCTTTTTTAGAAGAAGGGAGGGTATGCTGTTATACTTGATTTATGTATTTATTTTGCTCTAGATTAATCACAAATACCCAGAAAGACGACTGCTTGTGGCAGAATCCTGTGGCGCATTGGCACCTTACCTTCCGGTAAGAATTGTCTTTTTTTTTTCTTAAAACTATTTTTCTAATAATAGAAAAACCTTTTTTTGAGTGTCTTACAGATTTTAATCCAAATATCTCCTAGACATGCTGTCTTAATAAAGAAAAGAGATGATCCAAAAAAGAAGAGATTCACATTAGTACAGTATGGCATTGCAAACACATAGGTACATTACCACTGGTTTTGAATGAGTATAAATATATTAAACTATATGAGCAGTTCTTATAGTGTGGTCTGAGGACCCTGGGGGTTTCCTTGAGATCCTTCCAAAAAGGTCCATGAGGAGAAAACTGTTTTCATAATAATAAGACACTTTTTGTCTTTTTCACTGTGTTGAAATTTGTATTGTTGGTACAAAAGCAGGGATGGGCAAAAATGCTGCTGCATTAGCACTAATCAGGGCAGTGGCACCCAAATGTCCTATTATAGTAATGATTGTGTTCTTTACTGCCATGCTTTTGCAGAAAAAGCCAATTTCACCTAAAAAGGAGTTTGCTGAATCAGTAAAATTGTTAATTTTACTAAATTTTGACCCGTGAGGCATGCATCTTCTTAATATTCTGTGAGACAAAATAGAAAGTACTCATATAAAAACTCTTTGCTGCATACTGAAAAATCATAGCCATTTGCAGGAAAAGCACTTAGGCAGTTGTTTGAGTTATGAGCTCAACTAGCTGCTTTTTTTTAGGGGATGCCAATTTTACTTCACAGAAACACTTACAGCCAAACTGATTATTCAGACTTGGGTATGTGGCAGACATTTTCATGAAATTGGATGGAGTGAGAATGTCACTTCAAGGAAACCAAGTAGACAGCATTCATTGCCAGTGATAAAATTGGAGTAGCATGTATTTATACTCCTACTAACAGTACCTTGGAGTTTTTATTTTCCCATACCTTCACCAGGAGCTAGGCATGGTGAAATTTTTTAAGTGTTGTTCTAATGGAAGAAAATGCCTTACTGTTGTGATAAATCATATAGATAGATTGATGCAAATGGGTTTGAGCCTCTTATTTATTATTTCAAGACAGATGAACATCCCTTGCTCTCAAAGGATAAATAGACTGTTCTACTCTACTCCTAGAATACTAAGCAGTATTAATAGTAGATACAACGTTTCCTCAGTGGATCTATACTTGCCTTCTGTGTACCCCACTGTCACTGATAGCAGTGAAATCTCTGTACAGCGGCAGTTCCTCAGTGTGTTTATGACTCAAATAGAGTAATGCCTCCTGACCGATGCTCTGGTGGGGTCCCTGTGGCATACTAAAACTAATTGCCACAGTTGACCCTTGCCCAAATCAGTATAAAACAAATGCCCACTTAAAGTTTATTTACCTCTGTCATATTGCCTTGTGCGGATACCAACCAACAAGTCCTTTTAGATAGTTTAAAGTGTTTCAGGGCAATTTTTAGCCTAAACAGTAAATAAATGGGGCTGTACCAAAAGATGTTATATATTCACCAACCTAAATGTGTTTTAAGATATGCTAAAATTGCATGTATTTTTGTTTCTAAAAAGTGAAAACCAGACTTTTTAAAAATATCTTTCAAGCCTTGCTCTATATACCAAATCATGTTGTAAATTTATGAAAATAGCCATGTCCTCCACCTTTATTTTTATTTTATCCTAGTTATTATATGGGAAAAGCACTTAAACAAGTTTATGTTTTAAGAATTTTATAAATTGATTAAATTGCAATATTAGTACAAGTAGGATAAGAGGAGCATGAATTTGTATATTGGTAGCTCTTAATCCTAACCTCAGCCATTAAACTAAAACATTCTTTATCATAACTGGAAAATATTCTGTGCGAAATCAAGCCACAGCAGTGGGTGTGCATTATATTAAATATTAGCATAAAAAAAAGCAATGCGATTTTTAAGTACTTTTAAAGTTCACTCTCATATTTTATTATCCTGTTTGAATTTTTTTTCCCACTTCTTCAAAGAAATAGGAATGCCAGGATTTTATAATGTTTCCTCACCATATCCCAGACAAATTTTCTAATTGCCAGAGAGATTTTTATAATTCCTCCTGTTACAACTCTCAGTGCGCTTCTCTGAGTGGAACGAATAGTGACAGGAGAGTCATTGTCCATTTGTAGTAGAGTTTGTAGTAGACTTTGTTGATTTGTCAAAAGTGCCTTCTAGTGTGAACTGCAAGGATTTGAGAGATTTTTAAATATTTAGTAAAGATGTAAAAAAACATGCTGAGAGATGATTAATAAATGCCAAATTCAGAGTAGATGTTATTGCGTCTAGAGCAGAAGGGATTTGGGGCTGAGTCATATTTTTGCTATATCTGTAATGTTTTATGTCTTCAAAAAACAAAGGTCTGAAGCAAAATCTCCGTACAGTAGCAGTTAGCATTTTTAATAAAAATGTTAATACCTGTTTAATCTGGATTTTGACTACACTGATGTTTGTCATATTATTTTCTATACTTCTGTGCTTAGATGTAAATAAATAGTAAAAACGTGTTTATTTTCAGAAAGAAATCCGTAGCTCCTTGGTTCTTTCAATGTTGCAACAAATGTTAATGGAAGATAAGGCAGATTTGGTAAGAGAAGCTGTTATCAAAAGCCTTGGTATCATAATGGGGTACATTGATGATCCAGACAAATATCATCAGGTATGTTTTTCAGAATGACCTCCTTTTACTCAATTACAAAATTCCAAGTATTATAATATTCCAAATCTCTGATTTGGATACTTTATGATATATCATAAGGATGGCAGGTGTGAATTGAGGATGGCTGCCTGGTTTCAATTTTGCAGCTCAGTGGAAAGAATGCTACAGTTCAGTTAAAGTATCTGCCACGGCTTTCTGGCAGGAAATTGGCAGGATGTATTCTGTTTACCACTCCCTCTCTTTGGTTTGCTCGTCAGTGGATTCATGGCAAGGCTAGGATTATGGATGGCCTTCTTTCTTGCTTAAAAATATTTTCTTAATTTGTTGAAATTTTTATTACCTTTTAATAAGTGTTTTATTTGAAGTTTATCCCTTTAAAAATCTACATTTTCCTTCTTCTCCTTGGCAGGGTTTTGAATTGTTGCTGTCAGCCTTAGGTGATCCCTCAGAAAGAGTGGTTAGTGCCACACATCAAGTATTTTTACCAGCTTACGCTGCGTGGACTACAGAACTTGGAAATTTACAGTCTCATCTTATACTTACACTGCTGAACAAGATTGAAAAACTTCTCAGGGTGAGTTCTCCCTTTGTTTATATAGTTTATAGAAATTTAAAAGGTCTATCCTAAGCCATCTTGGAAGAATGTTAGGGAACAGAGACAGAAAGTGCCCCTTAGCTTAACATGCTAATACATTACCAGTTAAAGATACTGTTGGACTGGGGCCAAGAAAGAGATTTGAGGAAGTTTTGCTTTGCTGAAGCTGGAGGAGGAGAAAGGGCATGATGTGCACTGGTTATAGCTGAAATGCACCTTCATGGAAGTAACTCCTGTGTTATTCAGAAAGCTAGCTCTTTCTTGACCCTTCTGAGTAGTTAAATATTTTACACAAAGCATTAACTCTAGTTCCAGAATGCAGAGAAAATGAGTCTCTAAAGCTTTCTTACATAGTGTCAAAATTGCTTTAACTGTGGTTGTTCCACTCCAGTAGTTCATTTCTCATTTTTAAAATGAACTTTTAATTTTTCCCACATAAAAGAATTAAAGAAACGTTGATGAAACAATATAAACTTCTTGATCCAGTTTTTGTACTAAAAGTTTCTTTTAGAGACTAGAAGAGAAACTATTATTTGTGTAGTGCATACTATGTGCCAAATCTATAAAAAGAGATAGGAAGTAGGAGAGGGGAAGTATTATAGCATGAACTGCTGCTGGGTTAGCATTTGAGCATTTCTATATGCCAACAGTGAATAAGCTGAAAAAAATCAAGAAAGCAATCCCATTTACAGTAGCTTAAAAAAAAATGCCTAGAAATATATATAACCAAAGAGATGAAGAATCTCTGCCATGAAAACTATAAAACATTGATGAAAGAAATTGAAGAGGAAATGTTAAAAAAAATAAAGATATCGATATTCAATTGTTCATAGAAAAATTGTTAAAAATGTGTATACTACCCAAAGTGATCTACAGATTCATTGCAATCCCTATCAAAATACCGAGGACATTCTTCAAGATATAGTAAAAGCAATCTGAAAATTCATGTGGAACCACTATGGCTAACCAAAGCAAGCCTGAGCAAAAAGAACAAATCTGGAAAAAGTGCACTACCTGACTTCAAAACATCCTTCAAAGCTCTAATAACCAAACATCTTGGTATTGGCATAAAATAGACATATTGACCAGTGTAATAGAGTAGAGAACCCAGAAATAAATTCACACATTTACAGCCAGCTCATTTTTGACAAAGGCACCAAGAACATACATTGAGGAAAGGACAGTTTCTTCAGTAAGTCAACTGAAAATGGATTAAGGACTTAAATGTAAGACATGAAACTACTAGAAGAAAACATTGTTTCAGGACATTGGTCTGAGCAAAGATTTTTGAAGAAAAATCTCGAAAGCATAGGCAACAAAAGCAAAAATAGACAAATGGGATATTAAAGTAAAAAGGTTCCCCACAGCGAAGGAATCATCTGAGTGAACAAACAGCCTACAGAATGGGAGAAAATATTTGCAAACTCTCCATCCAACAAGAGATTAATAACCAAAATATGCAAGGACTCAAACAACTCAACAGCAAAAAAATAAATAAATAAATAAATAAAATAAAAAATCCAATTAAGGAATGGGCAAATGATCTGAATAAACACTTCTCAAAAGAAGACATGGCCAAAAGGTATATGAAGAAGTGTTTAACATCTCTAATCATAAGGTAAATGCAAATCTAAACCAAAATGACTGTCACCCCAGTTAAATGTCTGTCACCCCAGTTAAAATGACTATTATTAAAAAGACAAAAAAAAAAAAAAAAAACAAATGCTGGTGAGGGTGTGGAGAAAGGGGAACCTTTGTACACAGTTGGTAGGAATGTAAATTAGTATAGCCACTATGGAAAACAGTGTGGAGGTTTCTCACAAAGCTAAAAACAGAAATATCTCTGATCCACCAATCCCACCACTGGGTATATATCTGAAAGAAAGGAAGTCAGTATATTGAAAAGACATATACTTTCAAGGACTCACATGTTGAGTTTCAAGCACTCACATGTTTCTTACAGTACTATTCATAATGATCAGGATATAGATTCAATCTAAGTGTCCATCAACAGATGAATGGATAAAGAAAATATGGTATATATACACAATGGAATATTATTCAGCCATTTAAAAAAAATGCTATCCTGTCATTTGCTGCAGCAGATAGCCTAGAGGACATTATGTTAAGTGAAATAAACCAGGCACAAAGAGACAAATATTGAATGTTCTCACTCATATGTGGGAGCTAAAACAGTTGTTCTCAAGGAGGTAAAGAGTGGAATGGACCAGAAACTGGGGGCTGGGGGAGTAATGAATAGAAAAATACAGTTAGATAGAAGAAATACATTCTAGTGTTTGATAGCACAGTAGGGTGTGCTATCAAATATATATATTTGATAATATACAATATATTATGTATATAATATATACTATACAATAATAGATTATATATTTCAAAAATCGCTAGAAGATTTGGAATGTTCATAATACAAAGAAATAATAAATGTTCGAGGTGATGCATATCTCAATACCTTGATTCGATCATTACACATTGTATGCCTGTATCAAAATATCACATGGTACCCCATAATATGTACAATTATTTATGAATCAATTCTAACAAGAAAAAAGATAAAGTGATTCCTGTCCCTTACTTTAACTTCTTTACCATGTCTTATAAAATTTCAGAAAATAAGAGCTTCTCTAATGAAAAAGTAAAGTTATAAAAACTATTCCCTACTAATGGAAATGACTGATGTTTATCCTATAGTTTTCCATGTAAAAGATTCTACCACTCTATAGTGCCTTACCGCTTGAGTCCAACATACAGATCCTTAAATCTTTGATTTGCCACAAAAAGGAAGAACATCATACATAAATCCAATTAGCAATGTAGCTTCAAAAGACTAAAATTAGCTTCCACCTCCTTATGTTTCAGGAAGGAGAACATGGGCTGGATGAACACAAGCTCCACATGTATCTTTCTGCCTTGCAGTCGTTGATCCCATCTCTCTTTGCATTAGTGCTACAGAATGCACCTTTCTCCAGCAAAGCCAAGCTTCATGGTGAAGTGCCACAGATAGAAGGTACTGAACTTGAATTCTGGAAGAAAAATGTAGAATATGAGCTTAGCTTCCCAAAGAATTGTTTTTCATTAAAAGTCTAAAAGTCACTTTATATGACAGCATAATTATTAAAATGTATTATGTGTGTAGAATCTTGTGGTCATCAGATTATACCTATGGTAAACAATACGGCTTCATCTTTTATGAATAAGCCCTGTTGTCTTTTTTTATAATATTTATACTTTCTTTTTGCTCTTAATCTATAGCCTTTTTATAGCCTTTCTGGGGAGGCTGAAATAAGTATTTCCTTCAGTTAACAGATCTGAGTCAACAAAAGATTCGTTTAATAGTTACTAGTGCCAGTATATGAAGCTTGTCATTTCTGTTTTCTTTATATTTTCTTCCCCAACTTTTTAATCTTATTTTTAATAGGGGAAGGTAAATATAATTACTTTTTTCTACTATGTCCTTGTTAGAAAGAAATACAAGCATCTGTGGCAGAATTTCTGTTTTTCCAAAGAAGAAATGTGACTTACTTTCAGAAGTATGTAAAATTGACAGCAGAGGCCAGTGTTTTCTTATCTTACTCTCCAGGTAGCTAGTAAATGACCTTTGCAAGTTGGCAGGCAATTGATAACCTTGTTGCATCTTAACGTCCAGGACAAATGGCTATAGACAAGCTATTGCTATGTGTCAGGCACCTTTGCAGCCTTTCAAAGTTGTGAAATTATCCATGTCTCTTACTGGTTTCTAATGGACAAAGAATTACAACATTGAGAACATCAACAGACACTTAATCTTTTTCAATTTCATTTTTCATGTAAACTGTAGGCTACATGGAGTATGTATTTGGAGTATGATGCAGTGTGTCCAAAGATACACGAAGCCACATGATAAAAATAGTGTATACTATTTGAATGTCAGTTTTATTTGGAAAATTGAGAATGAATGGTGTGGAGTTAATTTAACATTTTTAAATGATATTATTGAGGAGAATGAAAATTCAGACTTTAGATAAGACTTCATAAAGCTCTCCCAGCTGGCCACTTCAGGTTCTGCCCCTTTACTCTTACTCATTTAGGCATTTCATCTGCCTAGGGATTTTCCTGTCTTTCTGATTCTCTTTCTCTTTTTAATTTTCTGTAGTCGTTTACTATGGCTGCCTTAACAAAGTACCACCAACTGAGTGGCTTAAACAACAGAAATTTATTATCTCACACTTCTGAATGTTAGAAGTCTGAGATCAAGGTGATGGCAGGGTAGGCTCCTTAGGAAAACTGCGAGGTAAAGGCTGTTCTGGGCTCTCCCCTGGCTTCTGGTGGTTTGCTGGCAATCTTTAGTGTTTCTTGGCTTTTAGATGCATCACCCCAAACTTTGCCTTTATCTTCACGTGGCACACTCTCTGTGTGCTTGTTTCTGTGTCCAGATTTCCCCTTTTTATAAGGACATCAATCGTGTTGGTTAAGGGACTACTTCAGTATGATTTCATCTTGTCTCACTACATCTACAGCAACCCTGTTTCCAAATAAGATCCCATTCTGAGATACTGGAGATTAGGACTTAAACATAAAAATTTGGGCAGGGGGCAGTTCTACTCATAATACTTGTTATTCTCTCATTTATTTCACAAATGATTCTCAAATGTCATCTATTGCCAACCATATGCTACAGATTAGATAGAACAGTACCATCCTGAACATATTCCTTCTAATACTCATGGGATTCCTTCTAACATTTATGTGACCTTTTCTTGTGATTGTCCTTTATTTTTGGTTCTTGTTGACTTACTTTAACTTTCTGACTTTTAACAGTAGCTATAAATGTTAATGTTACTATACCTTCATTTAGGTTTTAATGTATTTATTATAAATGAGGATTTATTATATCCTCATTTAGGATATATCCATATGTCTATATGTCCATTTATATATACACACACATATAATTTGGGTTGTAATTTGTTATGAATGAAGATTTGTTTTCTCATAAAAATGGTAACCCACACAAATATTTTTATCACCAATTTACTATACAACATGAACAAATATTTATGTCAGGCATTGTTTTAGACACTTAGGACACAATCATGAATAAAATAGATAAAAATTTCTGCTCATAGTGCTTACATTCTGCTGTGGGAATAAAATCTTTTGAGATTTGTTAGATTTGTTCTCATATCACAAGAATTTCCTGATTTTCCTAAAAAATGACTTCATTAGTATATTTCAATTTTATACTATACAATAAGAAAGTAATTAAATATGAGGAGGAAGGACCTTATTTTCCTTTCAACAGAATATCTAAGTTCCCAAAATGCCAATTTCCATATGATTTATTTTGCTTCTGTTATGTGTAGTGACCAGGTTTCCTCGGCCTATGTCGCCTCTTCAAGATGTGTCCACTATTATCGGAAGTCGTGAGCAATTGGCAGTGCTACTACAACTTTATGACTACCAGCTGGAACAGGAGGGTACAACAGGCTGGGAGAGTTTACTGTGGGTTGTCAATCAATTGTAAGTTACCACCTCCGTATTAATTTGAATGGATGATAACTCTTATATTTAGCCTGGGCCCTGAGGACAAAATATAACAAAACTTTTAGAATGTAACTTGGCATCATTTATGGTAAACACCTTTAGGGCACAGAGGATTCACACCACTGGATATGTAATTTATCTGAGAAGAAGGTGCTGCTGTATTTTATCCAAATGATCTATCTACCATCTCATTTGTCCAATCATGGCGATGGATTTTAAACTACATCTAGACTTCTCATTTTTCAGGCTAAAATGATGCCATCTAAAGCCAAGCTCTTGTGTGAAGCATCATATCCATAGATTTGAGTCACATTAACTATGTACTCAGAATTCTACCATTAAGGATTTCATATATTTTCTGGCAAACAGTTAAAATTTACTTTTTAAAGTGTATACAGTATAATGTAATCTTACGACCTTTTCAGAGGGTCCCAAACAATGCCATTCCTTTCAAAGAATGAAATAGAAGAGGTTATTAGATTTGCATTGTTTCAAAAATTGGCAAGGAAACAGTAATTTATATGTATCCCCTGCCTATTTTTCTTTCCTTTCACATTCAGGTTGCCACAACTTATAGAAATAGTTGGCAAAATTAATGTTACTTCAACTGCCTGTGTCCATGAATTCTCCAGATTTTTCTGGCGCCTTTGCCGGACATTTGGCAAAATTTTTACAAACACTAAGGTAAAAACTTGTATTCCATGTTTTCTTATATGAAAAAGACATAGAAATGTAATGTGTAAACACTGTAACAGAGTAAATAAAAGCATGAACCATTCTTTTATCTAATTTGCTTCTTTAATATCTTAGAATACTATGATAGTAAAAAATGTTCTAGTTGGTAATATTCTTATCTTTACTGATTTTCAGAAGATGATTTAGCCTACGCTTCGTTCATATCCAGACTTGGATATAAGCTTTACTCATTGTGGATAGCCTCAAAAATTTTCAGTATTATAGGAAGTGTCAGCTAGGGAACTCAGCCACAATCCTTTGAATGTGCTGCTGGTACTTACTGTCTATCACAGGTTCAGGAAGCAGCTGTTTGCTCAGCACACTTTGGTAAAAACCTCAAGCGATTGTGGAACCACAGCAACTTATATATAAAACTTGCTGCGAAGATACCACCTCTTAGAATAGCATGGACACTGGAGATAAATTCTACATGTTTCAGTCATTACCAAAAGTATCATTTGTCACATTTGCCTATCCAGGTTATTTTGTAGTTTCAAATATTAACATTGGAATATCATTAGATCCTAATTTATTCATTAATCCTATAATCCATTTGTCTTCATAACATTTTGTTAAACCAGTTCTTTAGAGAGCTAATAAGAGACATAAAAAGGTGTAGTTTCTATAATCAAATGTTAATCAACACATTTAGAAGGTAAGCATTTTAATTATTAAATTTAATTTAGTATAGCTCTTTACTATTAAATCTGTAGTTGAAACATTTGAAGTAAATAGTATGGTATAAGGAACTGGACAAAATTCAGAAGACTTGGGTTATGGTCCTATTATCTGTTGACTAATGTTTATGATCTTTAATATTTAAGTTAAATTATCTGGGCTTAGTCTTTTCATGTGTAAAATGAAGAATTTGCTTCCATGTCTTTTAATTCTGTAAGTATGATTCAGTACACGAACCTTTTAACACTGGTCTGTCTCTCAGTTTAAGCTAAAGATACGAATTAATGTGCCTCACCTACAGAGAGGAAGGCAAAAACCAGGCCTTAATGTTATTGTAGGAAAAACAAAATTATTTTATATTTTTCACTAGCATTCAGTTGTTAAACAGATATAATTTGATTTTCCTGTTATCAATATTGGCAAAAATTGTTTGATATCTCCAAAACAAGTAGCTATTTTTTTTTTCGAAAAGCAAGTAGGAATCTACTTATGTACTTAACAGTAAGTGGTTGTCTTCAGTGGCCTGAAATCTTTGATAACTTTAATAATAAAAAATTTAAGCAAGCCTTTGTTCTAACTTAACATATTAAAGTTAAATAGTGTATTTCATATTTCATTTTGAAAAGTTGTAATAATTAATATCACATGATGAATATGTTACTTTCTGAACACCTGAAGTGACTGGAATTCCTTTTCATTTTTTAAAAATACAGCCAAATGCTTTTTTCGATAATTCTAACCGTATAATATCTACCTAAATAGTCCTTCTATAATCAAGTTCAGTTTTAGAAAGCAGTAATTTCAACCACTTAAAATCATATTGGAAATTATTTTAATTTAATAAAAGAAACCAGAGGCCATTGACTTGAGTTGATTTTTTCAAAAATTTATCCTTAAAGTTTTCATTTTCATTAATTTGACTCTTTTATCCTAAGCCTCATGATTAAGAATTAATTACATTTCTGACCACTTGACTTAGTCATCTATAAAGCTAAATAAATAAATAAATAAATAAATAGTAGTAGCAACAGTAGTAAACATTTCATTTAATCAATTTGCCCATTGAACCTGAGACTTTTGAATCTTTTCTTTGGGTTGCT